CGAACCGAATGCTCTGGAAATGGGAATCAGACAAGTATTTGATGGAAGAAGAGGTCGATTCCGATAACAAATTAAGTCGACATCTAATCGAGAGTTTTGTCAACAAAAGAAAGCCATAGAATTGATGAGAAATTCTTAAATATTTTAATTTATTTAATGATTCGTTGTTTATATTTGACATTAAAGTGATTTTTTGAGAAATAATTTTTACTGTAATTCATTTCCATAAAACTATAAACTATAGTACTGTACAATATAGTCTATACAGTCATTGGTCGCTGTTGCGAACCACAAGTTTGCAATTGCCATAAGTTTTATTTCCATAATAGAAAGTAGATTTGTGACTTGTGGTGATAAGAAAACTATAGAATGTTCCAAATAGCTATTCGAGCAATTGTTTCAAGCAAATTTTTACTTCTTTTAGAAGTAAAAATCTTAAAAATTTTTATTATTGTGAAATTCATTTTTGTTTCTAGTTTTTGGAATAGTTTCTCAAATTGGAATTTTGAGATACAATGTATAACGTAACATTAAGCCTATAGATTTAACGTTACGATAGAAAAAGCATTACCCATAGACTTAACATTACCATTATGTTTAGCATTCATGTTAAAGTATAGGCATAGTCTATGGCCCATAGACTTAATCTGACTCATGAGATGTTACCAATTACCAATTTAAAAATATTTTCCCTCAAAAAAGTTCCCACACCAAATATATTTCCGAGAAATTCCCATATTTTGGGAGGAAATATATTGGAAAAATAAGAATCTTGCCAAAAGTGTGTAATATTAACTCTAACTTAACTATTGTAACATTTGATATACAATTAAAAAGTTGTCAAAACTTTTGTTCGTAAGATTGGATTCATAGGAATGTGTATAAGTTATACAGTAATACAGTATGAATGCTGACTATGGATGACATTGGGTATGCTTTAAGACTACAGACATATCGCAGACATAGCGTTACAGCGCGTGTATTATGCAATACAAGCACACAATTGAAAGCTTTCTATAAAAATCAATACAATTTGCGTCAAAAACATTCAACAAAGACGTCGATAAACGAGCCATACATTGGACCCCCGTTTGGAAACCTTCAGAATCGGGTGCCAAAGGGTTAGACGTTTGTTGCTATGAGAATATGACAGCACTTTCTCACGCATAGAGTATCGCACATACAGTGTGTGCCAACCCTTGCCCTCCACTCCACACGTTATTCATGTGTTAGCAGTGTTTTTGGTGTAAAATGTCTGTCGTATTGTTGGTGTGAATGAGTTATATATTGTGTGAAACCCTTTGAGTTGATAATCATTGTGTCCAATGAATTATGTCGACAATAAACTCGTTGTTTAGCTTAACGTCACCCGTAGTTAAAAAGCTGTTGGGTTTGTATTGCTTTGCATTTTGTCATTCATTTAAAAACAATTAAACACTATTTAAAAGGACTTTAATTCAGTCATTCAAATACCCGTTCAGTCGCCGCGCTTTACATCCCATTTAATGCACTTTTATTGACTTTTCCACACTTTTTCGCCCCCTTTTGGCCCCCTTATGGGTGCCGTCGGGAGGGAGGCGTCCAATGGAGTGTCATTTCGGTGACCAAAGGGTTAGACAAATGGTTTGATAAGCAAATTGAAAGACAAAAAGCCATCAATCAATTGACTGAACAAAAACACATGACATGTATTTTGTTGACCGAATTTAAGGCCTTTTTATAACAAGACATTTATATATGAATCAAGTGTTTTTATGTTGTGGTAAAAGGTGTTGATAAGTGTGTCAGTGATGATAATGTAGTGGTTTGTGATGCATAGGTTGGAAACAGGGGGACGAAGAGGGAAAGTGGGCCGAAAAGGCGGTCTACTCTTTGGTGAAGAAGTTGAAGAAACAGAAGGGAGCGGTGGAAGAGTTGGAAAGGGCTCTCTCACAACCGGGTCAGCCCAGCAAATGTGTTACGATTCCCCGATCTCTCGACGGACGACTACAGGTGTCGCAGAGGAAGGGATTGCCGCACGTTATCTATTGTCGACTCTGGCGATGGCCAGACCTGTCCAGTCATCACGAGCTCAAAGCCATTGACATTTGTCAGTACGCCTTCAGTCTTAAGAAGGATGAGGTCTGCGTAAACCCCTACCACTACCAGCGCATCGAAACCCCAGCCCTCCCACCAATACTAGTGCCTCGTAATAGTGGCGCCGATTTGTCCACTGATTTACCACTTCTTGACGACTACTCCAACTCTGTTCCCGAAAACACGGACTTCCCGACAGCTCTTCAAATCCAGACGTTTCCTCTCACGGGTCAGTCTCTCTCTCGCTCTCTCTCTCTCTCAACAGGCGTGGATTCAAAACGCGACGCTTAAGAATAATATAGTATTTGGGAATAAAGTGGAGAAACAGAAATACGACAAAATCATAAAGTTCTCTCTCTCTCTCTCTCTCTCTCTCTCTCTCTCTCTGATTCATGAATTATTGTAATTTCATTTTTGACAAACAAACAGATTTTTAATGAACAAATTGTTGACAGCAATGATATGACATATATTTTGCTAAATTAATGAATAGTTAAGGAAAGGGAGGCTTAGGTTACCAAACAGTCCAACAGTTGTTATGATATGTGATATTAATTAATAGTTAATAGCATTGGTAATTGAGATGCCATTTAGTAAAGTATACTTTATTTATAAGTTGTTGAGTGATTAGTGATTATAACGATTATAACAATTGACTATAATTTGCTATCAATTTGGGGGACAATATATGGGACGTAATGTATGGACAGACGTATTGAGCAGTTTGTAAAAAGTCATAACAAAAGTGCGATAATATGCCGACAATAACACTATAACTGTAATTGTTTTCACTATTTATGAACACATTTCGTGATTAATGCCTTTTTAATGATAATTAGTTTGTGTCTAAGAAGTGAAATAATGAAATGCCAATTGAATTGAATGGTTGTAAGGGATGTGATGAGTGTTAACGATGTGTTGTCCCCCACAGAGACCCCTCCGCCCGGGTATATGAGCGAAGACGGCGACAATCAGGATCTCAATGGCACCGATAATATGGGTATTGATATAGTTTTGATTGTATTTGTGTTGCACTTATTGACCTAATGATGTTTCCGTATGGTTCAGACACTTCCCTTATCTCATCGCCATCTCCACCATTGGATGTCCAACCGGTGACATATACGGAGCCGGCGTTCTGGTGCTCCATCTCATACTATGAACTCAATACCCGTGTGGGCGAGACTTTCCACGCCTCCCAACCCTCACTCACTGTCGACGGCTTCACCGATCCGTCCAGTTCTGAGCGCTTCTGTTTGGGTCTTCTCTCTAATGTCAACCGAAACGCTATCGTTGAACAGACGCGAAGACATATCGGTATTTGCCATTCATTAGCATCATTACCATCAATGTTGTCATTAGTATTAATGCATTGATTTGACGATTAGGTCGAGGCGTTCGGCTTTACTATATAGGAGGGGAAGTGTTTGCTGAATGTCTCAGTGATAGCAGTATTTTCGTTCAGAGCCCTAATTGTAACCAAAGATATGGTTGGCATCCGGCGACGGTCTGCAAAATACCTCCGGGTTTGTACCAGCGATCGCTGTTTACCACGTAATGCATGTATAACTTATGCCAATGTATTGAATGTCTCCCTTAGGCTGTAATCTTAAGATATTCAACAATCAAGAGTTCGCTGCACTGTTGGCACAGTCGGTGAGTCAGGGCTTTGAAGCGGTGTATCAGTTGACCAGAATGTGTACAATAAGGATGAGCTTTGTTAAGGGTTGGGGAGCGGAGTATAGGCGCCAAACGGTCACATCGACTCCCTGTTGGATTGAACTCCATCTGAACGGTCCGCTCCAGTGGTTGGATCGGGTGTTGACTCAAATGGGTTCCCCGCGAATCCCCTGCAGTTCAATGTCATAACACTTACATCACAAACAATACTGAAATGAAATTTAAATCCCAAACACATTATTAGCTCCTATTCTTCGCTTACATTCATTTTATTTGCAGCTTTTAGTGACTTATAATCACATCTTTAAAGACATTATATTAATATAATATATATTTGATATTAAAACACGAAAATATTGTTTTTTTTAATTATGAAATATTTGTTTAATCCAATTATGTTTGAAATACTGACTTTGATTATGAAATCAATTCTTCAATATTTGTTGCCTTTTATTTGAACGAAAATTTCGTTTTTAAACTTCTTTTTATTATTACTGATTATCGATAAGAAGAAACATTTTAAATGTAAAATATTTTAATTATTTTAAGATTGTTTATATATATTATATAAATATATTATAACATTTCAGGTATTATATATAATTGAATAGATTTTTTGATATAATTGAAAGTTTATAAGAATGTGAGATATTATTGAATGAATGAAACGGAAAAGTGATTGATTGGAAAAAAATGCTATGAAATTATTCTATCAAATGAAGACTTAATTCTAATTGTTTTTTGTCTGAAAGTAATCTCAAAACTAAATGTCATAATTTGTTAAATAAAAAAATTGATTACTGATTATTGAATAGAAGGCCCAAATCATTGACATTAATATTATTTATAAATTATGTTTTAAAGTATTTAAAATGTGTTCCGGACTTATACTCTGTCTCTAAGAGTTTCAATGTTGTGCTCAACCCATCAGTTGATCAAAATATTTTCATATACTCTAAATCTCTTCATTACTACACCTCTTATTATTTTCATTGAATTCTATATGAAAAGTAATTATTTATATATAAATCTATTAGATTTCAAACATATTTTATTGCAAATTACGGTTAAATACGAATACAGTGTATATTTCTATTACAAATATTAGACATTTAACTCTTTTGTCATTAATTTATTACTGATTTCATTATTCAATTCATCTTAAAAACCATTTATTGTTACAACAAATTCTCTTTACTCTCAAAATAAAATCTCAGCTTTTATTTCATTTAATGTATATTTTCTGTAGACTTATAATAAAATTATCAAAATTATTAAATTTATTCTAACTTGTATTTATTCCAATATTTGATTGTGCGCTAACCATGTTTATCACTTAAAAATGCCCATTGTCTTTTTTGGTAAGGAAATGCAATTATTGTATACAAAATGATGACAATTAATTAAGTTTGCATATGACTGCACCGGTAATATCCCGGCCACTGGCCTAACCCTCACACCAGTCATATCGGATTGTCATCCAAAATATGAGACATTAAATCATATGTTGTGTTGACTGCACTAAAAAAGTGCAAATAATGTGTATTGCAATAAAGGAGAGCTAATACTGTGTATTACACGCTATTATTATGCAATGATTGCCAAAATGCACTCAATATTAGCGGCAAAATACTGTTGACTGAAAGCCTATTACAGGTTCACTACTTTACTGTACTGTCGGTATGAATGCTATTCAATGAGCGCATGATTTGTGAGACACAAGTTATGTAACAATTCATTGAAAACGTGATGTTTTGGGCGTTTTAATGACGGTTTGAGCGGTGAATGCAATGCCAAAGCATTGGCCAATAGAGCCCACCCCTCGTCTCAGCGTTACGTTATATAAGGAGACATTGATTTGCACTAAATTTGTACTGAATTTCATGTCTCTGTCATTGAATGGCATTTGAAATGCGAGTATTGGTAGAAAAGCATTGAATTTACTGATCAGACAATTGATTACTTGTAATCACATCTCATTCTCGTATCAATCGGTGTCCCAAATGGTTATGAATGAGTGGTTCCAAGACTTCTGCGGCGGACATCTCTTTTGGGTTTGTCTCACATTTTGTGTATTTATTTTGTAATTAAAACTCACTTTTCGTTTC